TTTACATAAAAAATATCTCTTGGTAAAAATCGCTACGAGCAACCGTTCTCAAGATATTTAGAATGGAAATAGTCAATACATCATTATTGACAAAAAATGAACAATGTCGAGTAGATATTTATCTACTTTTTTTGGCGGTACGATCTGTGATGGTCACAGCCACCGCTAGATGAAGAGAGGGTCCAGCGCTATCCATAGTAGTACTTTTTGTACTCAAATGCTATTCTCTGCTTTTCGTTTTGTCAGATTGAGGGTTACAGCAAAGTCGGCCTGACGATGGAGATAAATCTCCGAAACCGGTCGTCGAATGGCTGTTCCCTTCAGTCTGATGAACTTAATGCAGAGAATAAGCATATATGTAGGGTTTTTTTTGGCCCTTTTTCCGCTTCTTGTATTTTGTTTGTAGATATTTATCGGACTGAAATGAATTTATCTGACTGAAATGATAGATTTGGGAACTTTTTATTTTGTTAAATTAACCATAAATTTTTCTTTGAAAAAATTATGATAAAAAAGTTTCTGTTGAACTTTTGGCACAAAAACATTTCATTTCATATGATTTCAGTCTAGTAACTATTTATAGAAAACGAATAAAAATCATATTTCAGATTCCATTGAAAACTGGGTTTTTAAATTATTTCGTAACTCATTTTATTCATTTGTATTAGCAAACTTAAAAAACAATTTTTTAAAGTAAACAAAACAAATTAAAAATATTTAGTTTTTTTTGTATCGTATCTTAATTATTATGGAAGCTATCTGAAAACTTAAATCGATTATTATTGATAATAAACCTGTTGTTTATCCAGTGGCGTCGTAAGTACTTAAAAAAATAATAATAAAAATAAAACAGTCTTATTTTAATGACACACCATGTATCAATATTTATAAAAATTAGAACTTAAATATCTTAGGTAAGGAGGATTCAATATAATTTATCAGCTTTGAAATAAATACTGCCCTAAGGGTAGTTTACTCTTGACTCGAAAAATATCAAACCCCATTAAAACGTACGTCTATGAGGTATCGCATTTCTTACCCTGGGCAAAATGTACCTCTTATAGCCATACAGCCTCCTGCCAAAAATGAAAAAGATCGGTCAACAAACAATCAAGATATTGGCTTGTATCCATCTTAAGTGGGACACCCTGTATGTATAGTCTAAATATTACAGTTTCTTTTACATTCTGAAATTGTTTAATAAACACATAAACATGTTATTAACATAACATTGATTAAAAATGCATACTATGGATATTCAGAAATATGCTGCGAACTGCATTTTATTCTTTATCTGAAAAACCTACTAAAATTAAAATTAATATCAAAAGTACAACATTCAAAGGAGTAATGATTTTATTATCAGTTATGCGTTCAATATACAAATATATTACTGTCGATAAACTATGAAAAGATCGATTTTACTAAGACACAATGCACAATTATTGTTTTTTATTATCAGGATATATTAATCTAAATGCACATCGCTAAAAGCAAATTAAAAATGCTGGTATATACACTATTGGTTGAAAACGAAATAGTTTTTATATCTTGAGAATTTAAAATATATAAAAAATATAACAGTTATAAATAAAATGCATCAATTAACATTCTAAAATAGTATTTTTCTATTAAAAAATGCATATCGTCAGTGAAACGTGATAACCTGCTAACTCCATTTTTTACGTTAATAAGTTTTTTATACCATTGGAAAGAGAAAAAAATACTCCATAAGTAGGGAAAGCAAATACATTTTTTTCCATTAAAGAATTTTTTTATTTTGACTCAATAATATCTGCTGACTCCCAGTGATCTGAAATAGCCTCCGAAATGCTGCTATCTCCGTAATTTCCGTTACGATCACGCTAAAGCAATTACACGGATTCTTACTTGTATGTTTCTTTAGTACAGTACGTCGATCTAGGGTCGCACTAGGCCAAAGGGGCCCGGATGGCAATATAAGGAGGATTGTAGATTTTGTGGATTTTTTTGCGAATTTTTACGCCTTACGTTTTGGTCAATTTTTCCCTATTATATACAGGGTGAGTCTTAAATAAGTGCAAATATTTTTAGGGGTAATATATTTCGACCCAAGAACCATTTGGAATTTTAAAAAAAATGGATTTTTTTTTTTATTTTTAGTTTAAAAACATACTTTGTTTGTAATATGGCAGCATAGGTAGTATATTAAATTTACAAGAAAGAAAATCCAATGATTCTCAAAATTATAGCAAAAAATTGGAAATTTTAAAAGTGAAATAACTCGGTTGGTTTTGGATTTATTTGAAAAAACGGCAAAGAGAAAATATTATGTTTCTTTTATCGAGATTTACCAAACCTGAAAATATTTACACTTATTTAAGACAGGGTGAGTCAGTATAGAAATCAGGGAACTACCCTAATGCAAGGTAAACCAATGCAATGCAAATGCCATAATGCAAAACAAAAGCAAATATTGTTAAGAATAAATAATGAACTATAAAGGGGGCCCGCGAAGGCCTGGGGCCCCCCTAATAGTTATACAGGGTGTCCCAGAAATAAGTGCAAATATTTTAGCTGGCAGTATAGTTCAACCCAGAAACACGCCTATGAGGTTTTTTTCGCGAAAAAAAAATTTTGAAAATTCGAAATTTTTTTAGTTTTTAGTTAAAAAATATAATTTCTTGATAATGTGAAAACATAAGTGTTAGATTAAATTTACAAGATAGAAAATCCAGATAAGATCCAGTGGTTCTCAAAATTTTAGCAAAAAATCATTTTTTTTTGGAAATTTTCAAAGTAAAATAACTCCGTTATTTCGGACTTATTTGAAAAACGATAAAGACAAAAGAGGTTTCCTTTATCGAGATCTACCACCTCTTAAAATATTTGCACTTATTTCTGGGACACCCTGTATATATATAATATGGCCAGTCCGACCCTGCGTCGATCCGTTCTGTAAATACGGGGTATCCGTAAAGGGTAAGGGGAAAAACGAAATTCTTTATATACAAGCAATTCTTCGGCGTGCTATAAATAGTTTAAATAACCATTACTTACTTGTACAAGAATTTCCATAATACCTAATCAGTTTTATTTTTTTCAACGTTTTTCCACGTAAGTGATACATAATTTTTATAAAAATTAAAAAAATAAGGAGAAAAGTAATAAAAATTTAATAAAATCAAGCACTGTTTTCCAAGCTCGGTTTACTACCGTTGTATAAAAATTAGGATAAGCATGGATATCTTCTAAGAATTATAAGTTTAATTTTTAAATTATTTTCATATTCATTAAGTCCAAAATGCTGCTACTTCAGTTGTTTAAAAATGCATTAAAAATTTATTCGTTTTTGGACTTGCATGTTTTGCTTCTAGATCAATGATATATTATAAATATATGGTTATGAAGATCATATTTTTTAAATTTAATTGATTATTTCCAAATCTGTTTGGGTAATATTCAATTCCATTTTTAAAATTTAAAACAATAAAGATTGCTATCTCCAGAAGTATATTTTTATTTCTTATTTCTGCAAGACAAATATCTCCCTATTGTGTCTGAAAAAAATGATGTAACACGAAATATTGAGTTTTATTGTACCCCAGCAAATAAAATTCTTATCTCTTTATCATATTAACGTATGAAAATACTTCCTACATGAATTATATTTCTCCGAACGTTGAGCGTGTTTTAAAAATATAACTTTTTTTAGAAGGTAGGTAATACAGTACTAAAGTTTAACACAGGATCGTGAACAAGATTGATTCTATATAGGGATTACAAGCTTTTATATATAATTTAATGTTAACATAAGCATAAAACTATTCTAGAATATGGGTGGCTTCGTTGGCAGCTTCCATTCATGGGATGCCCATAACTCATGTGTACATATTTTTTTGTACCGTTTTTTGTACCGCTCTCCTGTAAAATTAGGAATAATGGAGTTAGCAGTTTATCACATTTCACCGACGATATACATACTAACTGATATCATAGTTACAAAAGAAACATTAATAACATTAAAAAAATTATCTTACAAATCTTAGTTATCTTTACAAATTTTGTAATTTTTGAGATCCTGTATATTCACTGTTATTATCCTTTAATAAAAATTAATCATTCGCTATTCTAATATTATGTAAAAAAAATGTGTAAATGGATTATTATTTTACGTTGTTACCAGTTCTAGGTCTTGAAATAAAATCTCTTATTTTTTCAAAAAGAACTTTTCTACAGTCTAATATTTTGTAAAACATTATACAGGATGAGTCTTAAATAAGTGCAAATATTTTTAGGGGTAGTATATTTTGATCCCAGAAACACGTCTATCAGGTTTTATCCGTTAATTTTTTTTAGTTTTTAATTAAAAAACATAAATTCTTCATATGGCTTCAGTAGATTAAATGTACAAGTAAGAAAACCCAAAAAAGGTCCAGTGGTTCTCAAAATTTAAGCAAAAACTTTATATATGTATATATTTTTTTAAATTTTCGAACTTATAACTCGGTTATTTTGGACTTATTTCAAAAACCGTAAAGAGGAAATATGTTTCTTTTATCGAGATCTACCAGCCCTGGAAATATCTGCACTTATTTAAAACTCACCCTGTATGTATACATATATACTCAGTGGTACCCCTGATATATCCCAAATTAACATTAATAACATTTCTACCGGTTTTTAGGAGAATTATTTTTTTTTATTGAGATTATACTTTAAAAATTCAAAATAAAAAGTATTTAAAAAATCCAAAAAGATAAACAGAATGCTTAAAGATTTTATAAAATAAATTAACTTCTATAATTTACTAAGAAAAAAAAATAACACATATCAAGTAAAATAAGAATACCTATATCTCGTTTTTTGGATTTGGACTAAAAACAATTTATTCTTATAGACATCGACCGTGAAAGCTTTTGTTCTCATGTATTAAATTAACCCTTTATATTAAAAGCATCAAAAACTACAACGAATAATAAGTTAATTTTCTTTTTAACTCTAAAATAATTATATTTCAGGTTCCTCTACATAAGGAGCCTGATTGGCTGTGGAACACTATTGACAGATGGTTGAGAACGTGTGATAAAAAACTACAAGGAGATGAAGTTCCAGTGTTCATAAAAGATCTTTTGAACGACGTAAATTTAAAGGAAGAGGCCAAATGGCTTAAGATGAGGTATTTATTTAGATTTAATTAAATCCTTTTATACACTCTGTGTCAAAAAAAAACCGAAATAAGGAATAATGAGTTATCATAGCGTTATTTGTTAAAATATCTTTTAAACTTGTAAAAAGTATGATAAAATGACAAGATCAAAAAAAAATCCATATAATAGTTTCGTCTTGACTGTGCAGCAGGGTTGGAAAAATTATGATTTTTTTTTAAAATTAAAAAAAAACATTTTTATTTATTTACATCAGATTTTTTTTAATTTAAATCAGATTTTTTTATTTTAATTCAAAACAATATTTAAATCGGATTTCCAAATGACTAGAGGACTTATTTCCAATTAAAGTCCTATCCTAAATGGCTAAATCTTTATAACTCTGCCCGATAGCGATAACATTAACAATTCTACGGCGCGTGTCATTTTTCCACATCGGTCACCAATTCCGCAAAAAAAGTCGCTCGCTTCAGATCAAAAGGATTTTTTTTTTCAAACATATCAAAAATATTAACTTTTGTCATTTTAACGCCTAGGCATAAAAGTAAAGCACTGTTTCGCCTAATCACAAAAGTACAAAAAACATATTATTAAACTGATATTAAGTGTCAAATTTAACGAATGTACAAATTGTTGCTCGATTACTATTCATATTATTTGCAATGTTTGAAATTAATAAAAAAATTATTTGTAATATTTTAAAAGAAATAGTATGTTCTATTCAGAGTAAAAATGTACTTTTTGTACCTCCCTGTAACATCGGAATAGCTTTACGATGATCCTTCAAAGGTACAGCATCGTCAAAAAAAGTATAATTTTTACTCCTAATAAAACAATACAGGAGATAGTCTTAAGGCGAGAATAAAATTAGTATATATTATCTAATGTCAAAGTGGAAAGTACTTATTGCAGATCATAATGTCGGTAGGAATTTAGAAACATACAACCGTCTCAAAAAAAAATAAAACAACACGTTTTCTGACAACGATTATAGATTCTCGATTCTCGGGAATGAAGATATAGTCTCTATATTAGAAGCACCTAGTTCTGCACTGGACTTTGCGAATGATATACATTCGAACAGCGAATTTTTGTCGCTTATATATAAATTTTAAAATAAATCTCGGCGTTTAGCGGTCTAATGGATTCACACGAAATTACTTCAAAGATCGGTCCAACATTTAAATTGATGAATAGATATTTTTATATTGTTTTATAACATTTACAATTATTTTTCGATTTATTATCTGTTATATAGGGTGTCCCAGATATAAGTTCAAATATTTTAAGAAGTGGGAGATCTCGATAAAAGGAACATATTTTCTCTTTATCGTTTTTCAAATAAGTCCAAAATAACGGAATTATTTTACTTCGAAAATTTCCAAAAAAAAATGATTTTTTGCTAAAATTTTGAGAACCACTGGATCTTTTTTGGATTTTCTTTCTTGTAAATTTAATCTAATACCTATGTTGCCATATTATCAAGAAATTATGTTTTTTAACTAAAAACTAAAAAAAATCCAAAAGAAATTTCAAAAAATTTCGAATTTTCAATTTTTTTGTTCGCGAAAAAAAACCTCATAGGCGTGTTTCTGGGGTTGAACTATACTACCAGTTAAAATATTTGCACTTATTTCTGGGACACCCCGTATATGTATGTTATAAAATAATATTATATGTTATAAACACATTTTTTCTAGTTTTCTAGGACACACACATTTTTATAACTTTTATAGTTATTTTTTTTATTTATTGTAAAGTTTCAATAATTTTTTTTTACTTAAATCACATGATTAAAATTAAAAAAATCACTTTTTACCGTTGCTTTTATTTAGATTTGCTTTATCCTATATGATACATACAAAAAGTTGACTCAGAATTGTAAATGTAAATAATATTTACAGTATTTCATTAAATTATATATTTTTGTGACAGTTTTTTTACTTAAGATTTACATGTGTTTTCTATTGATAGAGGCTCTTTATTTGTTTCTGTATGATGAAACATATATGACTGCTTTCAGTTTTTAAAGGTATCTCTTTTAACTTTTCTTAAACCAAACCAACACAACTTTAAATATTTTGAAAATTTCTATATATTAACGAAATATTACACATAAATGAAACTTATTTAAATTTACACATGTGAAATGGAATTTTGATCATATTTTCTCTTTGACACTCTAGGTATCTATGTGTGCAAAATGATTGATTTTGAATCGTTGAATTCTATTGATTTAAAATGTCCTTTTTTCCTCTACGATTTTAATTTTTTTTTCACTAATATTTGAAACTTATTTAAACAGACTGGAACAAGAAAACAGCCCTGTTGTATTTTGCCACAATGATATGCAAGAAGGAAATATACTCATGTGCATGGATCAAGACAAAGAAAATAATCCTTTAGATAAACAAATTGTAATAATAGGTAAGTGTTCAAAGGATTAAATGTTATTGTTTAATTTATTTTAATACGAGAAAAAAATATTTTTTTATTTTCTATCTTGGTCTGTAGTACGCCACTAAAAGAAAAAGTTTTATTTTAAAAATCAAAATATCTAGGTAAAGTCATTAGATAAACTCCAATCATTAAAGATAAATTTGTACATTTTCTATTTTTTTCAGATTTTGAATACTGTTCTTACAATTATCGGGGTTTCGATATAGCAAACCATTTCATTGAATGGGTGTATGATTACAAAGAAGAAAATCATCCTTTCTTTACCGAAGATCGCAAAAATTACCCTACAGAAAAACAAAGGCTCACTTTTATAAAGTATGTAACGTTTGAATTATGCATGGATGATAAATATTTGCAGTGTATTAATCTAATATTTATTTTATATTCAGGGCATATTTAGAAGAAAGGAAGTCTCGTGAAAATCCTAGAAAGGTTCTAAAAGAAGTTGAAGTTTTTACGTTGGCCACTAATTTCTTCTGGTCTCTGTGGGCCTTTATTAATGCTGACACATCTCAAATTCCATTTGGTTATTGGGTAAGTTGATACTTTTTTCTTTTGTTTTAATGTCGCATATGGTAATCGCAAAACAATTTCCGATGCACATGATCAACTTTGAGTGACAAGCGATGGCGACAGCGCTGCCAGATTGTGATCAATTTATGAGACGAATCTTAATTTAAAAGTGACAAACAATATATTTATTATATCATTTTTTAAAGATTTTTACGGTTTATTTTTAATTTAATAACTAATATTTTAGTAATAAATTTATTTATTTGTTTTATAGCTTATTTTACTTATTACATATTTCCAAAAATTAGTCCATTATGAAGATTATTCTAAGCATTATTATGGGTTATTTATTTATTTAATGATGTACGTCTTACGATAACTAGTAAAATGGTGCTATTAATGCACAAACTAATAATCACAGAATTTAATAAAAACTAACGTAGTATTAACTTTGAAAGTGGTGTAATGTGTTTATCAAAAAAAAATGTTTATTGTGTAAAAAAGTACAAACATATAACAAATTGAAGGCAATAATTAATCCACATTCCACAAAAAGGTTGGAGATTTGGTGTTACCCATTCTTCCACTCCACCTTATGAAAATTAATAAAAAATATGTTTTCTAGACTTAACCTAAATATTACATTAAAAAAAAATAAACTAAAACTACGATTCTAAACCTAAGATATTAATTGAAATATGGTGACATCCCAATTTTAGATCGTACATTACTTTTAAACTGTACCAAAGGCAAACTCAAGTCATCTATAAATTTATTTAATAAGATAGGAGCCATATAGGAAAAACAATTTTTATATTTTGATGTAATGTGCTGAGGGACTGTAAAAGAATTAACTCTGATGTTGACACTATGAATTTGAGATCTGTTAATAATTAATTTTATTAAGTAAATGGGGATTTTATTTTTAAATATTTTATATAATAACATTACATACAAATATTCCAATCTTTCGCGCATTTCTGGTTCCTTTAAACGTTTTAGGTGAGGACTAATATGATCTCGATAAGATAAATTGCACACAAATCTCATACCGGCGTTCTGGATCCTTTGTATTTTTAGCTTCTTATATTTGGGTAAGAATGCATAATATACTTGGCTACAATAATCGATATGAGGATAAATCAGACTTTTGACTAGATGTAGCTTAGTAAATTCGTCAAGTTGTTTCTTAAGAGAATATATTGCCTTGAGCTTAAACATGGACATTTGATAGACTTTATTACACTGATTCGAAAAGCTCAAGTCTTTATCCAAATCGACACCCAGGCTCCTTGCATTGTTAGTCCATTGAAGTATAACATTATCAATATTTAAATTTAAATTGGACGTAACATATGTGTTAGTTTCTTTATTGCCAATACAAAGAGCCATAGTTTTGGCTGGATTTATTCTCAATCCATGCTCACTACAGCAGTCTGAGATCATGCGAATGTCGTTGTTGATAACATCTATAGTGTCCCGAGCCCCCTCAATGGAACAGTCTAGATACAGTTGGACATAATCTGCATACATGTGTATATGACACCGCTCAACTGCTTTAGACAAGTCAAAAGTATAAATCAAGAACAACATAGGCCCCAAAATGCTGCCTTGCGGAACGCCACTAGAAGTTTCTCCCAATTCAGAACACGCATTATTAATGCTCTCTGAGTGCATCCATAAATATAGTCTCTAAACCAAGCCTCAGCAATAGAGTCAAAACCAATGTATTTTAGTTTTGCCAAAATTATTTCCAAATTTACCAAATCAAAAGCTTTACTTTGGTCCAACAAAACCAAAATTGTACTTCTTGACTTATCCGCCGCATAAGCTATGTCATCAACTACCTTAAGAAGTGCAGTAGCCATACTGTGCCCAGGTCGAAATCCTGACTGTTCCATTGGTAGGATTTTATTTGCATTCAAAAAATGCGTAATCTTTTTTGAGATGATTCGCTCTAGCAGCTTCGACATGGCAGGCAAGATGTTAATAGGTCTTAAATCACTGACAGTTGAGGGACAAGATTTCTTTGGAATTGGAACAATATTTGCAATTTTCCATATACTGGGAAAAATACCGCTGCTGATAGAAGAATTGAAAATATTTTTTACAACATTATTGCAGTACGGTATCACAATGTAAATCATGTTTATATTAATATTGTCAAAACTATATGATGCAGATTTAATGGACCTCAAGCTACTATAAATATCACTTTCCGTTACAGGGCTAAGCTAAATACATTGTTTGTGTTAAGTTTGTTATTTCTGTAATAATTTAGTATATCAGCACTAATATTTAGGTATTTATCTTTTTTTGTTTATCAATCAAACTTACTTCTCTGACTGCAGTCAAGGGTAATAAAGGATCTTTATTGTCACGTTCTCGTTCAAAATAGTTTATCAGGGAAGCTACAAGCCCTTTGCTTCGACTGTTTAATTGCTTCGGCATATTTTCAACACAGAATTTCAAGAAATTCAATACAAAAACTCGAAAATTTTAGTTCTTAAAAGAACTATTTGTGCTTAAGAGTACAATTTTTAAAAAAGACTATGACAATAGGCAAAAAACAAGAATTACTCACAAAGATTCAACAACAACACGATATTATACAAAATAATGACTGACATTAGGATAATTATTGTCAAATAATAAACGACAACCTTGCTGAAAACGGCGTAATGTGACCAACATAGCGATAATAAAATTCGGTTTAAACCAATTTTTGTAGCTTTAATCTAAATAAAATATATGTTATAATCATTTGCTCTATAAAGTCAAATGAAGAGCTGCTCGGTATCTTAAATCATATAACAAATTTAAACCTTTTTGCCAAAATTTCATTTAGTCAGGTTTATAGACTTCAGTGTCAATGTCGATATGATTGATGACGTGCATCGGAAAATGTTTTGCAATAGATACACGGTTGGTAAAGTCTGGCTTTAAGTGCCGATTAACAACATATGAATCAGTGAAGCCTGCGATTACTGATGTAATGTATTTTTTAGGAATATGGTTTCTCGAGACTAACAGCCTATTTTCAACTGAAGGAGCGACTTTCTTGCAACCTGCAGATAAAGAGAAAGGTGGAATGTCTTTGCCTAGACTGAGATTAACACTTTGTCTAGTTGTAGAGAGTATTCTCGAAGCTTTCCATTTAAAATATTTTAAATGCGAAACAAAACATACCAACAAATGTTTCTATAGCAGGCTCAGGAGTTGAGGGACGCATAACTGTTTCGTAATTAACATGGAATTGAAATTGGAAGATGGAGATGTGAAGATAAAGAAAGAGATATGTAGCTCTCGACATCCTACATCATTATTTATTTTATTCGACCATAACGAAAAAGATGTTAAATAGTAACACTCTAAATAGTAACAACGTTATAAGATCTACTAATATAAATTTATTAAGCGAGTAATGATATTTCGCTTAAATGCATAAAAACGATGAAGGAAAAATAGTAGAATAACTAATTCTAATATCTTTGTGAATGCAAATCTGGATGTCCCACTATTATATAGGTTAAACATTTCTTAAAAATGATTCTCATATTTTTAAGGCCTAATTTTATACGTTCCAGTAAAAATTTATACTACAGATTTTTTGGGTTAATATATTTACAAAAATATGTTAAATATTTTCTACAATAATATAAAGGAAATAGGTTCTTTCAATGTTCTAAATCTTTCAACAATTTTATGTTCTGCTGTGTTGATATTTAACCCAGTATTTTTTTAATAAAAAGAATATTTTTTATGTGGTCATATACTAGGAAGATATCCATATGGAAATAATATACAGTGGGTCTCCTAAATATGAGCAATACCGGGTGCGTCTCAAATATATAACTTTCACCCCCTATAACTTTTTTATTTTTTCAGATAAAAAAACGAGATTTGGTATTTTATTATATGACATGAATTAGGATTGATTGACGTATTCAATTTTTTCAGACGGCTAATATCCCACTCACCACTTACAACTTTTAAATATTCTGTCTGTGTTTTCCCTTTCTATAAGAAATTAAGAGTGTAGAGATGTTTAGAGACACACTGTATAATGTTCCAAATATTTATAAAGTTAGTCATGCTTTATCAGACACTTAAGTCTTACGTCAGTAAGAAATTAATGTATTGTTTGATTCTTTCCTATTTTAATATTGTTCCGGGATGGGCGTTTACAAACCTTTTTTTTATTCTTTTTAACTTAAAAACATAAAATTAATAAAAACTAGAACAAATGAGGATATAAACTACATTGTTTTGGTCTAATTTTCTATTTCAACACTAAATAAAAATACACATTGTCAATAAATGGGTCAAATATACAAAAATAAATTATTTTTTATGCCAGTGTCATTCAATGGTATTCAATATTAAAGATTAAAAAAACTATAATTATAACACTAGACTCTCTTATTACGGCCATCTCCCATATTACTTTTATATTTTTCCTATACTTGTTTTCATTGGAATATTATTCCTTACCAATATTAGACTTAGTTTATATACAGGGTGATATTAAGTATACTTTATAATCTAACAAATACATAATATATAATAACCTGTATCATTAATATTTCAAACATTCCTATGGAATTGTTGGTGATAAAGGATATGTTTATATTAATTTTTCTATGTCCCACTTTGATATCAAAGAAACAATGTTTATACAAGGCTACCTTTTATTATTCTTAACTTGCTTTAAATTTTATACCATAAACCTAACACTTTCTTATTACTAAAATTTTGAGCTATTCCAACATTTACAAGTATATAAAGCATTAAATTAAACTTCAGCTTCTGCTAAAAATTCCACTCATGCCCTCATGCAGTTCCAATATTTCTTGTATACTTACTAGAAATGATATAATTATTATGGTTGTGACGATAAAAATAATGAAAATTGCTGAACACATTGTTCTCCCCATTAAATTTATGGGCATAGGATAGGGTGCTCAATTTGTTTTTAATTGCATTTTTATAAAATGCAATGTTATGTAATATGTAGTCGAATTTGAATCAATCAGAATATTTGCTGTTACTAATTCGAATATTAAATTATAAGTAATATGATTTTATCAAACCTAGAAGTGGTGATTAGTATTTTATTTTCTTAAATAGTACTTCAAAAGTATTTGTTTGCATTTATGGAACATTTTATACAAATTGAAATCATTATAATTTTTGAAAATAGTTTTATTTTTATTCACTAATAAATTGAATAAATATATACCTACCGTTATTTAATGAAAAAAAAAGCTTTTGTATCTAAAACAATTTTTATATAATGTTCCAAACTCTAAAAACTAATATTCTGTACTTAATTTTCAAGACTGGATATATAAGGTCTGAATATTAAATGCATTTTTAAAAATATGTTGTACGTTATATACAATATTTGTACATATTTTATTTTTTGTAAATCGTTATTTTTACTTTTTATTTTATAATAAAAAATACTCAAGAGAATGATTTAGTCGTTTTTTTTTCATATGTCTCTTCTATTAAAAGTATTTATTACATTTTCTGTCTATTGTAAAAAACGCCATCGCGCATACTTTTTGAGAAAAAAAAATTGCGAAGCTGACTTACAAAAACTCAATGCATCGCCACAGCATCGCATCGAGATGCCCCACTATGTTTGTACCCTAACTGACCAACGAAGCACTTTTGTATAGAAATAAATTGTATGCAATTAACTTATTATTATTTCGATTCAAAAAAATACGTTGTTGCTCTATGTCCACGGAATATTGGAACTCTCTGTTTTTTTCTCATAAAATTGCAATGTGGCGTTTTCTTCCTAGACGCAAAAGTTAGGTAAAGGTGTGGATCCGGTGGCTGACCTTGAAGCCCATATTTGCTGCATTTGATCATCGATATTACACAAGCGCACATCGTCGATGTTGCCAAATTGCAGTTTATTTTCGAATTATTTGCAGTTGAAAATTTTCTTTTGAGTGTTAATCAATAATAATACAAATTCTCTAATTAATTTTATAATTTCAGATTTATCTTGATATCCAAACTTAAGGAATGATATATAAAATTGTAATATTAATAACATTTATTTATATATTTACATTAGAATTAAAAATTATCATTTACTTTAGAATTATTTTATTTCTTTCAAGTTATTTAATTTCTAGTTATTTACAGGCAACAATAGTTCTGATTATATGTATTGATGTATTGAAGTACTACCATGACGACTCTTATAGAACAATACACGTCAATGGGAGATAGAGGTAACATTTTACCACAGATTTTACCTATAATGTTACTAATATAATATACTTTGATTATAATGTTTGTATCATAATTTCTTAAAAATATCAAATTAGTGGATTAATAGCAATTTTAGACATATATATTTTATCGAAGAGTGTGGTGATAAGACTAAAATAAGCTTTATGTTTTATCTTTTTCTCTTTAGAAGGGAGATGGTTTGTGTCGTAGAATACATTACAGTATTTAATATCGTGTAGTTTGATATTCTTTTCTTAATTTACTGTAATTTTTTGTTTCCTATATTGCCAAATCTTGACAATATGGTGAAGGTTGAGTTTTGATCTTATTAGTTTAACAAGAGTTTAACCCTGGTTTAACCACGTATTTGGGTGCCAGCTTTTTATTGTTAATCTAAGGTGCCAGCAACAGAAATTAACCAGTGTCGTAGTCAGTCGTAGTCTTTGTCATCGACAACATTCAGTTACGGCAGCTTTGAGTCAGTAGCGTGCGGCTTAATTTATTTCATTCTTTTTTGAGTGATCTATTTTGTTTTTTTATTTTTGTTTATTGTGTGATATATTTGGATTTTGTAGTTTAGTAGTACAATGGAAGTCCGAAATTCTTTTAGTTTTAATACTCAATCATTGCCTACGGCATTCAAAGTAATTTTTATTATTAGGTTTCCTGCAAAATGACAAACAAGATTCATTTCTAAATTACTGTTTTTCTGATTATCCGTATCTATTTTTAATTTTTATGGATAGCTCATGACAATTCAGAGAGAAAAGAACAGAGGTCTCGTTGTTTTTTATAATAAGGTCTGCCGTTTTTAATAAGATATGTTTGCCAGATCATTTTGGCAATTTTCAGTACCAGTGTGTAATATTCGGCCACAAAGTTTTTTAAATGTTCTTCTAAACTGGATGAATTTATCCTGGATGGGAATAATGATAGGTTTACAAGATATTGGAATTACAGGAATTACAAGATAAAGTTGTCGTACCAGATTTTTATGAGTGCAACTGTACACTCAAATCTCGCGACAAGCTTTTATACTCGTATAATATAAAATTGTGTAATGACGTTATAAGTTCATAATAAAAGTTTTAAAGAAAAAGTTTATCTTTTTCTTTTTAATGTATTTAAATAAAAGCTTGTTTTTAAAAAGTTTTTTTTTCTTAAATTTATTTTTTACTTTTTAGTTATGCTGGTTTCTCAGTGCCACACACTTTGCACACACTTAAACTCAATTCTTTTTCTTAAATAACTTCCTATGGGCATCCTAATAATATAATATGTATATCGATTTTCATTAAAAATGGAAAACTTAAAAAAAAACGATAGCTGTCAAATTTGACAGTTCAAATGTGAGACAAATAAAATGAAAACCGACTATGGGGTAGGGAGCATCCAATATATCGATTTTTATCAAAATCGGACAACTTTGAGACTTTTTTGACAGCTGTCAAATTTGACAGCTCAATTTTTTTCTTTCATTTTAACCCATGGCCATCTTATATATAGATTTTTATCAAATTCGGACAACTTTGAAATTTTTTTGACAGCTGTCAAATTTGACAGCTCAATTTTTTTCTTTCATTTTAGCCCATGGCCATCCTATATATCGATTTTTATCAAAATCGGACAACTTTGAATTTGTCATGCCTTGCAAGAAAATGTAATGTCATCGGGACTGAACCTACATGCCAAATTTAAATTTCCTACAATGAAAGGAAGTGCTTCTAATTTAGCTTACAAGATTTGCCCCGAACAAACATACATACTGTCAAGGTGTATTACTGGTTGCATAACTGCATACTGCTAAAAAAATCGCAACGTGCATTGAGGAACCTGGCGCATTCGCCAGAAAGTAAAGAAAATTATAGAATTCTTTAGAAAAATCTAGAAACAACCGCCAGGGGGTATATAAGGCCCGCGCTTTGACAGTTGGACAAGTTTAAAGCTTGAAGTTTGAAGTCTGAAGATAGTCTGAAGTTTGAATAATACCGCGAAATACCGTTAGAGTAATACTAGTTGCATAAGTTGTGTTGTAAATAGTATAAGTTGTGTGTACAGAGTGAAACAAATAAATTCGTTAAGTATTTTATCGTGAGTTTAAATAGTGGACCCACGGAATCCGTAACAATTGGTGTCGGAAGTGCGATTCAAGAGGATTTTAAGAAGAAAATTAAGTGGATTGGAAGATTTTTGGACCGGA